TAAATACCCGGGGGGGCAGTTGGGGACCCCCCCAAGGAGGGGACAAGGAGGGGGGGGACAGGAGATGGTGACGGTGACAATGAGAGTGATGGTGACAATGAGAGTGAGGGTGACAATGGGAGTGAGGGTGACAATGGGAGTGAGGGTGACAGCAGGGGGGATAATGAGGGTGGTGGGGACAGTCATGGTGACAGTGACGGTGACGGTGACAACGGTGGTGACTGATAGTGATAGTGATGGTGACAGTCATGGTGACGGTCATGGTGGCTGTGATGGTGACAATGACAGTGATGGTGACAGTGACAATGGTGGTGAGGTGACAATGGTGGTGACAATGATAGCGATAGTGACGGTGACGGTCATGGTGGCTGTGACGGTGATGGTGACAGTGACGCAACAATGACCGTGGTAGTAATGGTGATGGTGGCGGTGTTGATGGTGACAATTATGGTGACGCAGTCACGGTGACAGTGACAACGATGGTAACAGTGATGGTGACAATGAGGGTGACAGTCATGGGGACAGGAAAAGTGATGGCGACAATGACAGTAACAGTGATAGTGACAATAATGGTGACTGTGACGGTGACGGTGACAATGATGGTGATAGTGGCAGTGATGGTGACAATGATGGTGGCTGTGACAGTGATACGGTGACAATGACAGTGATGGTGACAATGACGGTGACGGTGATGGTGACAATGATGGTGACAATGATGGTGATGGTGACAATGGTGACAATGAGGGTGACAAGTGTGGTGACAATGATGTGACAGTGATGGTGGCGGTGACGGTGATGGTGACGATGATGGTGACAATGATGGCAATGGTGACAATGGTGACAATGAGGATGACAGTAATGGTGACAATAATGGTGACGGTGACAGTCATGGTGACAGTGACAGTCATGGTGACAGTAATAGTGACAGTGATAGTCACAGTGACAATTATGGGGACATTGACAGTCACGGTGACGGTGACAACGGTGGCGACAGTGATGGTGGCAATGAGGGTGACGGTGACAGTCATGGTGACAGGAAGAGTGATGGTGACAATGACAGTAACAGTGATAGTGAGGGGGCAATGACAGTGACAGTGACGATGACAGTAACGGTGACAATGATGGTGACGGTGGTAATGACAGTACCAGTGATGGTAACAGTGACAGTGATGGTGACAGTGGTAGTTACAACGATAGTGACAGTGACACAACAATGACGGTGACAGTAATGGAGACAATGATGGTCACAGTGATGGTGACGGTGACAATGATGGTGACACTGACAGTCACGGTGGCAGTAATGGTGACAGTGAGGGTGACAACGATGTGACAATGACGGTGACAGTGATGGTGACAGTGATGGTCATGGTGATGGTGACAATAAGGGTGACAGTCATGGTGACAATAAGGGTGACAGAGACAGTCATAGTGACAAGAAGAGTGACAATGACAGTGACAATAATGGTGACAATGATAGTGACCTTGATGATGGTAACAGTGACAATGACGGTGACAGTAATGGTGACAGTGATGGTCATGGTGATGGTGACAATAAGGGTGACAGTAATGGTGACAATAAGGGTGACAGAGACATGGTGACAAGAAGAGTGACAGTGACAATAACGGTGACAATGGTGGTGCCCATGACGATGATGGTAACAGTGACAATGATGGTGACCGTGGTGGTGACGGGAGCGGTAACGGTGACAGTGACGGTGACAACAACGGTGGCTGTGATAGCGATAGTCACGGTGACAGTGATGACGACAGTGATGGTGACAATGGTGCCAGTGACACGATGGTGACGGTGCCGACGGTGCCGGTGCCGGTCGCGGGGACGGCGCCGCCGCCTGTCCCCGGAGAACCGCCAAAAAAAAAGGGGCGGGAGCGGTAACGGTGACAGTGACGGTGACAACAACGGTGGCTGTGATAGCGATAGTCACGGTGACAGTGATGACGACAGTGATGGTGACAATGGTGCCAGTGACACGATGGTGACGGTGCCGACGGTGCCGGTGCCGGTCGCGGTGACGGCGCCGCCGCCTGTCCCAGGAGAACCGCAGCGTCACCCTGCGCCTGCGCAAGCGGAAGCCCCGCAAGAAGGTCGAGTGGTCGAGCGACACCGTCGACAACGAGCACCTGGGGCGCCGCTCGTCCAAGTGTGAGCCCGGACGCCGGGGCCCCTCCGCGACAACCACCCCCTGCCCGGACGCCGGGGCCCCTCTGTGATATCCCCAATGCGCCCAGGATCCCCCTGGACGCCTGGGCCCCTCTGCACCCCCCCCCAATGAGCCTGGGACTCCCCCTCGGACGCCGGGGCCCCTGCATGACACCCCCACCCCTTCCCGGACGCCTGGGCCCCTCCGTGATACCCCCAATGTGCCCAGGACCCCCCCGGACGCCTGGGCCCCTTCCCGGACACCTGGGCCCCTCTGTGATACCCCCAATGCAACCAGGACCCCCCCGGACTCCTGGGCCCTTCCCGGACGCCTGGGTCCCTCCTCATTCTCTCCGGTCTCCCAACTCGGACGCCTGGGCCCCTCCTGGTCACCTGGGCCCTTCCTGGACACCGGGGCCCTTCCCGAACACTGGGGCCCCTCCTCATTCCCTCCGGTCCCCCAACTCGGACGCCAGGGCCCTTCCCGAACACTGGGGCCCCTCCTCATTCCCTCCGGTCCCCCAACCCGGACGCCTGGGCCCTTCCCGGGCGCCCGG